ACCAAAGTATTTTGAAATAATATTCACTTTGAATTTTTTTAAATTAAAGTTTTTGACAGTTTTAATAAATTTTCTATGTTTTCATTTAGTAGATAATTCTCTTAAGCTGGAAGTTTTTACTAATATTCTTTTTTGTTGTTCTATTTTTCTCAAATATTTTTCTTTTTGTTGATAAAATTGATAAATTTCTTGTTAAATATAATATAAGAAAATTTAAATTTTTGATTTAGTTAATTCAATTTCTTTTTTTAATAATTTTGCAAATGTTTCTCTTGTTATAATTAATATATTATTTCTTTATAAATACATTGAAGTTATTAAAATAACTTTGAATCTTTATTAAAATATTATTTTGATATTAATACTCCAATAATTATCTCTTAGAATAATCTTCTAACTTCAATATCAGTTAATTTTGTGGAATTCAAATTAAAAAATTTGTTTTTTATTAATTTATTTGTTTTTTATATAGAATTCTTAATCTAATTCTGATTTTTTAATGTAATACTTTGTTTATCTACAAAGGATTCTCTATTCAAATAGAATTTAATAGTGTGAAGTTATCTTTTTCATAGAGGAGCACCAAAATTTGTTATCATTTTTATTAACTTTAAGTTTTTAACATGTTATTTCATGTTTCTACTAATTAAAAAATGAAAAAGACTAAGTTTTTATAGTGGAAGAGACTAAAAATTATTACTAAAGATAGGTAACATATATTCATATTGTGACAAGATAGAATAATATCTAATAACTTCATTATATTTTACTAAATTTCTTTATAACTTTTTAAGATTATAATTCAAGATAATAAGTCTTCCAAGTGATTATTTTTTAAGTCAAATATAACAATTGATTATTTAATAGTAATTTATCTTTCAAGACCAAAATCAATATAATTTTATTAAGTTATTAACAAAAAGATAATTGAATTGATAAGACTTATTTTCTAAAACTAAGATACAAGTTGTATTTATAACAAATTATTAGATTTAATTTAGCTATTATATATATAGTTGATCTCTAGCACTTTCATTACTATTATTACTTGAATTATTTGGATCACTATCATTACTTGAATTGCTATTATCACTTGAATTACTTGCAAAGTTCAGTGAACTAATTATTAATAGCTCAAATCTTGTTCAATAATCTTAACTAAATTATTGTTCAATCAACTTATATTATGAATCTACTAATAGAATATGACTAAATATTTATATCATAACAATAATAAAATATTGCATAATATAGTTATTCTTAACAAAGAAAATCAAGAGTTGCAAAAGTTTAATATGAAACAAACTTTTGCAGCTGACATGTATATATATTCATTATTTTAGATTTTTATTAAATTACTTTGATTAGGTCCAATTTAGAGCACAACTCTGAATTCTTCAAATCATTTCTTAAAATGATTAAGAATGATTATAAAGCTTGTGGACCACAATTTCAGGCTGCTCTCAAAATGGGCTGAATGATACAATACAGCAAAAGCAATATCTATTCCGAAATTAATCTCTTTTTTTTATAATAATAATACTGATTCATTTGCCCATATAAAAAGTGGTTCAAAAATTTGAGTACAGGTTAAATCAATAAAAACAGGAAAATCCTGGCTCAATTGAAAATAAAGAGAATATTAATCTGCACGTTATTCCATTACGCAAAGTCAGAATAATTAAGAACACACATGATCTCAGTCAAAATATTATTAAAAATAAGTTGAATTAATAACAGTTATTATGTTTTTTTCATTATTGTGTTATTGTAGTAATAAATAGTAATAAATAGTACTAATATTATCTTTGTTATACAATTTGTTCAAAAAATTTTTTAGCCACCTATCAGTAACTAAAATTCTAAATTCAAGACTAAAATATTACATAAATATAGTATATCAATATATTAATAAACAAAACCTATTACATACAACATATACGAAACTGAGTATAATGATTTAATCCAAGTCTTTTACAGTAATATATGTCGAATCTCAGATAGTTCAGCCGTAAACAAATGACGTTCAAAATTAGTGTCGTGACAGTTTATAGAGCTCTCCATTATTCCAATTGAGTTCAAAGTTTAGGTTTTTCTCGAGAGCATGTCAACATGCATTTTAATGCTCACTATATACTTATGGTGTTTTCTTTTCTTTTCTGCATCGTTTCGACAGACTGAAATGTTTGTTTTAGAGAAACGCCAATCAAAACTCGAATTTTACAAGATTCCAAAAATGGTAATGGTAACTTCAATAATAAACGTGATAGATGATCGACAAATCCTGGCACAGATTTCTTGCGTCCCGGTCAAAATACTATATACCATTTGATTTTTCTAGATTAGACAAATCGAATGGTAGTATTTTTGCTCAAATCAGATCTCTGGACGTCAAGATATTGATCGATTCATATTTTTCATTATAAATTGATCGCCAGAAAAATGAATCGGTCAATTTAGGATGTAATATCTCAAGACGAATCGAATGGTTATATATTTGTTTGAATCGGATCACTGGAGATCGAGATATCACGTCCTAAATTGACCGATTCATTTTTGTTAATGTTAAAAAAACAAATCTGCTACTTTAGGACGCAATATTTCGACGTCCAGTGATCCGATTTGAAAAAAATATTACCATTCGATTCACCTCGACTAGGCGAATTGAATGGTATATTTTTATTCAAATCGGATCACTGGATGTCAAGAGTTAGATTATTTAATATTGAGATGTGTGTTATGAAATAACTGTATTTGGGACGTGAAAGTTTATGAACAATACCCAATATAGAAGCTCTACCAATCTATAAAAGGTATCATGATCAGCATTTGTAATGTTCTTTGTGCTCAGAAAATTTCAGAACATTACACATGATCTATGATCGGGTATTTTATCATAAAATACCCGATATAGAATCTATAAAAGGTATCAATGATCAGCGTTCGTGATCGTTCTTAATTTCAGAGCATTACACATAATGTTCGGAAAGCTATCAGGGGTCAGTTACTTATGACCTATTTGGCATAAACAGTCGCATCTAATAACTCGCATTGTTGTGACAGCAACTCGACTATAAGCCGAGTAAAAGAGAAGAAACGAGAATTGCGGGAACTCGGAAGAGAACTCAAAAGAATGGACGTGAAACGAAATTGCTTGATTTATTTAATTGCTAATATCAAAGCTGAGGATAAACGCGTCCAACTCGAAATTTGGAACCTCAAAATTCTCTTGTGTTCGGTATGGTGGCAGCTCATTAAAATGTTTGATCAAATATGTATAATGCTGAGTCCAGGTAAGGAATTTCAAGCGAAGACCTAAAACCTAATGTTTATTAATTTTATGATGAAACAGAGTTTATATAAAAAATTGTTTCAACAAACCTGTGGGATAGCAATATCTATGCCTTGTGCATTGTTGCCTTCCATACATGAAGGCAAATTCAACCAACCAAGAACCTAAAAAAAGCGTGTAGTAGCGGTAGTTCGGATTAATTATGTATGTACGTGTATGTATGAACCTGCAATCTAAATTAGAATGATGTCATGTAAACTCATGCTTTATCGTTATGTACGAGTTGCATATGTACTTTGATCAATACGTTTGAGTAGAGTCCTACGATAAACGTACAATCCAAGTTCTTTAAGTAACGTATGGTGAAAAATCAATGCGTACAACATACGCATGTATGACAATACGCATTTGTATTCTATGTACTGAGTATTAGAATAATTTACCGTATTTTTCGGCAATTAGTACCCCGGGCCTCTTACATTCTAGGGGTTCAAAAATTGATTAGTACCTACCGGGTACTTTGTGAAGAGGAGGATATATTATACGGTGGATACTTAACAGGGAAACCGTAATTTTGGCCCGGATTACACTAGTTTTGACCTGAATAATGCTAATTTCAGGATTATGAAGGGGTACTTTACATTCTACTCAACTTGTAACAGAGATTAGTACCAGGGTACTTTATTTATCAAGGGGGTACTAATTGCCGAAAAATACGGTACGCATATACACATCGAAATATATGTGGTACAAACCATCAGCTCCGGCAAAACAAGTCCGACACAAGAAATGAAAAAAACAAAAAATGTAACCCTAACCTTTAAATTAACCTTTAACAATAATTTCTATTACCATATAATTTTTCCGGACATACACGAAACTTCCCACAATGTTTTCTTTAATTACCCAGGATGCATACTTTACAAATAGCAGCAAAACACTGAGTTTATGCACTCTTTACACAACTAGGATCATTTTATAGTAATATATTTGATGCGTATATGTATAATTTGTTGCATTATTATAATACTCAACGGTGTTGTGGTAAAACGTACAGTTCGTATGATGAAAAAATCAATGCGTACAAAACATAGAGTCTATGCACTCTTTACACAACTAGGGTCATTTTATACATGTATAGTCATTACTTGTTATAGTTATTTAAATATTAATATTTTGACGAGTATGATTATTCTATACTCAGTTCTGGTACGTAGTATAGAAAGCAAACGCGTATTGTCATACATGCGTATGTTGTACGCATTGATTTTCTTCACCATACGTTACTTCTTTAAGAACTTGTACTGTACGTTTTATCGTAGGACTCAATACTCAATAGCATAGAATTGTATGTTGTACGCATTGATTTTTTTACCATACGTTACTTCTTTAAGAACTTGTACTGTACGTTTTACCATAACACTGGTTTGAGTATGATAAAACTTGCAAGCCAATTTTTCCTTATAACGATAATAATCATTCGCCAGGAAAACATGGAAAGTCACACCTTTAAAAAAAGCTTCCTAGAAAATAATGATTCGAATGGTAAAAAGTAGACCGATTTGTCGAATTCATAACGATAATATACAATCATTTGAATAAATTTTTTAACGCAACCAAATCAAATTGATATAATTCTATTATTATTATTTTACAGGAATTGAATGTTTGTTCGTACTATATCGATATCAACTGAATTAAATAAATTTTAATGTTTATGTCCGTTACTGGCACCTACAGCTTGACCGGCAAAATCTGGACGTGCTTGAACTGGACGTGCGTTAAATCCCATTATACTACGCAAATTCAAGAAATTTTTAAGAAGTATAGGTTGAACAACTCCGCTAACATGCCATTTCAATCCTTCTGCGCATTCCGGAGTCGTTAGACTTCCAACATATTGATGTACCTGTATATATCAGAGAATACATATTAATAAAAATATAATATATTGTCGTAGTTTTTATTTCTACGGGTTAGATTCGAAATACTCACATTGTGATTCTCAAAATTCTTATCAAAGAACTCTCCAAGCGAAGGACCAAAAATTGTTAGACTTTCATCTTTTTCCTTTGGAACAAGAGCTGGTACTAAGATTTGATCAAAAGTGGCGTTAGGCTCATCACTCACATTCAACAAGAACGCAGCAACTGCCACATCGGCATTTTCACTTTCATCAGTTTTGAATACGAAATGAACTTCAGTGTCAGAATGACGATTATTAATACGATGTTCCGACGGAGTATGGAAATGGAAATTATCCAATCGATATTCGACGCCATTTCTAATCATTTTGAAGTTAAATAATGACTGATCGGGTGAGGTGTATCTGACTGTTGCTCCCTCATTGAGCACATTCAATTTGTAGCCGTGTTGAAGATTGTTGACAAACGATGTTGCATTAATGACTGAATTACCAAAGAGTACTGCATCGATATTGATTGGTGATTGTTGTTTTCCGTTTTTACATAATGGTGCATTCCATAGTTTGTTATCCGATAATGGTCCATCGTATGCTGAGTAACCGAATTCCCCTTCACTTTCGGCATTTATTCCAGCAACCCCTAAAGCAAATAATAAACAAGTAAAGAAAAATTTTTTCATATTTCCTAATTACAATTTGTATTGATGTGGTGGTGGTGGTAGTAATATTATTGAGATAATGCAGTTTCTGTTATGATAGTTTTTATGAGAAGAATGTATTATGTTACAATTTTGAGACGAGAAATTGGAGAAAGCGAGAGTGAATGCTTAATTTATAACAAACTGTCAGCAGATTCGGGGTAATATTGTGATACATTAACGCAATTACTTCTGCCACATGTTTGTTATTCATGCTTATATTGAGACGCAAAAAGGTCAAATAATCAATAAATCAATAAATGAGCCCCATACTAAATGTAAAAGATCAACGTGGCATCATTGATTACATACATATTTGGTTCTTGGTACATGTATTTTGTACAAGTACATGTAATGAGTTTGGTTAAACCAGTCGTAATAAATGTGTTAATATTTATATTTGCTAAATTGTCTGACTTACCGCTGCAAAAAACAATACTGATACAGTCGTTTTAGTCGATGAAAGAATAATAGAAATGCAAATTACATTTATTTACGGCCGTTTTGTTCTTTATCATTGTAGAATGACGGCAGATTTTCCATTGCGTGTTACTAATGCAGCGGTGTATATCGATATTGAATTCGAATTTGTAGATAACATTAGCATTAGCCTTTTTTATTATGTCAAAAGACTAAGCATTCAATATGTGAATAATTAAACCTTTTTTGCACGATTCTAAGTAAATTATGTCCAAAAAAGGTTAACTTATTTTCGGGATATACTAATTTCCCCCAAAGTTCTGATTGGTTGAGGATATTAAAGGTTAGTTTTAGCGTTAGGATTAAGGGTTAGGGTTAGGACTGGAGGACAGAATATATGTAAAATTGTCTTCTAGACATTTTTTATTAGTGCTTCAAGCGTATTTTTCACACTATTTGCCTTGTTAATTTTCTTGTGTCGGATTTGTTTTGCCGGGTTGATCAAAAATTTATGCATCTTTATTGGTTGATTTAGAAGACCTGTGTGCAGTCAACCAATCAGAGATGGAAATTACTTGTATCCAATCAGAACTTGGGGGAGAAATTAGTAAATGCGCAAATTTCAAAGTACGAAATCACAAAAATGCAAATGACTTCAACGAAAGCACCCTATAAGAAATTTTCTTGTCTGAAACGGGGGAATTTTGACCGAACAAGAGAACACCGACTATACCTTCAAATTTCATACCTCATTAGATTAATTAGTTTCGAAATAAATGATTTAGAAAACTATCGATCTTTTAGTAATTAAAAAATTTTATACGAAACTTATCTCGATTTTCTCTTAAGAAAATTCTCCATGTTTGAATAATTAATTCTGTTCGATTCATTAATATTCTGATCTATACTTTCAATAAGATTTTGTTTGATGACCAGTCAATGGGTTTCAAATCATTAATGTTTCGCCTTTCCGAAACTAGTTTAACGATCATAACTTCGAGATCGCGCGTTACCGTTACATTGATCGACTGATTGTTGAAAACATGACAATAATTTCCTTATTCGGAACTGCTGTAACCAACGTCAAATGAGAAATTGAGTACGACGGAAATTGGTTAAATAAATATTGAATAACCTAATAATGACAAAAGATTCAAGAAAATTGACAATGAAATACACCTAACCGACAACGAAATATATTAAAGATTATGGGCCTAATATAGTTCTTTTTTCATTATACGAAAATAGTTGAAGTTTAAGTTGGTTGGATATTCAGAATAAGATTGAAGACCAAATAAATGTAAACTCTCTAGTTTACAATACATAATGAACCTTATAGGGGTTTACAGTTGGAAAAATAACAAAATTTTATTTGAAAATGCTTTTGCTGAATTTTTATGATGAAATTGATGTTTCTAAATATTAAATACTGAGTGTTCTAATAACAACAGTGAATACGTAATTTAATACATGTACTTCTTATACTAAAAAGAATGCTTAATTTTCTCTAAATTAGACGCGTCAAACGCGTAATTTCTCGAAGTCAATGTGTAAATTTTTTATTTTGAGTGCGTTCAACTACTCAGAAAGAGGTTTTCGAAAAGGCGGAGATTTGACAAACATCTAAACTCATTAAACAATTCAGTGTAACTTTGAGCTCTAGTCTTCCAAATTTGATCATTGAAAAAAAAACTAGCCCGATAGAATGAAATACATGTACATGTATTAGGTTAGGCTTTATCATTTGCATTATTTTTAGATTTCTAATGACGTATACACTTTGAAAATTCGGAGTTAGATGTTGTGCAACATATACGTAATGTTTTTTAAAATCAACATATACGTAATGTTTTTTAAAATCAACAAATCGATTATATCGATACGTTTATTTTAAACTTGTTTTTGGTAGAATAGCGGGCTTTAATCTGATTGGATGTTACACACATAATAGGAGGACATTCATGTGATTGGCTAATTTATGTCGATCCAAGCATGATTATTGACCAATCCAATCAATCAAAGAAATTATTTAGATTTTAAATACGTAGTAACGGTAATACTATTCTATTTTCAGTCATCACTATCTTTATTAGACGCATTACAAACCTTGACCTATATTATAATTAAACCACTGGTATTTATACACATTATTAGGTTTAAATATTATAAAGTAAATGATATATGTATATAAAGCCTTTCTTTAAGATTAAACTTACATTATACATCTTGTTTGTTTTTTTTCGTTGACTGTTTTCAGCATAATATTACATATATAGAGTTGGTAATAGTAGTAAATAGTAAAGTTTTTTATCTTCTAAGTATGTCAGGTTCTGGATTCTTTGGAGATTCTTTTGCATAGTGAATATTAACGTTCGTTACGGTGATTTTTTATTTGTAAAACAAGACGTTCTTAAAAAGTACTTTAAACTATATTTACATGTATATAAATCGGAAAATTGATTTACATCAGCAAATCATATGAAAGTCTGCCTATGATGTACCCCTTTTGGGTGTATATGTACATGTACTAAATTTGTGGATATGATAAAGCGTTGTATCCACGTGATCAATCACCGGTCAATGCTTTATAAGGTCAAGATAAGGGTTAGGGTAGGACTGGAGTAAAGGTTATATGTAAAATTATCTTCCCGACATTTTTAATTAGTCTTTCAAGCTATGTTTACCCATTCGTTTTCCGTATTTTTCACGTTATTCGACGGATTTGTTTTGCCGGGTTGATCAAAATTTGTGCATTCTTATTGGTGATCAACAAAATTTGCGCATCCCCATTGGATGGATTACCTGAAGGAAAAACGCTTTATCGTATCCCTAAATTTGTATAATCGATTCTTAATCGATCTTACGATGTAGATCTTATGAAATCAATCAATAACACAAGCACTAACGCTAATTTAAATAAAGCGATTACCGTTACGTATCAGTATCGACATTGTTTCTTTTTACCATTACGAGATTTAAACTTTAATAATTATCAAAATACAAAACCTTGTATCAATGTTAGCTTCATTGAACCTGATAGATTTTTTCAATATTCTTTTTATTCTGTTGATTTTCTATGTTGTTCGATTCTACATTGTTTACTTTACACGCGAAAATCCTCTTCCAGGACCATTTCCTTTACCCATCATCGGGAGTTTATACCAACTACCGTTACAGGACGGAATGGAGCATTGGTTCTTACATCTTTACAAGAAACACGGAGACATATTTGAAATTTGGATCGGCCCAACACGTAAAATATTTCTAAGCAAATCGGAACTACTTGAAAAACTTGCAAGGAAATCAACACAGAGCAATTTTCTCATACGATTTATCATTGGCTCAAATAAAGGATTAGATTATTACGCTAATCCACGGAGGGGAATGTTTTTTAATGGAAATATTCCACATTGGAGATCAACTCGTAAAGTGATTGATAA